GACTTCACCCTTCTCCTGTCCCGGTGGAGTAGGGATACTCATACCTTTATCACCTCGTGGGGCAAATTTACTCCTACACTCGAAGACGTGGTACAACTTATGTGCCTAAACATGTTCGGCGAACATGACCCCAGCTCCTGGTCTCTTCCCGAGGATGAGGTAAAAAGCCCCTCGAGCTTGCGTAGTGCCATCACTTCGGTCGGAAAGATCGCCACTCAGTACCAAGAGGATGGTCTTCGTGAGGACTTTCCTGAGACAAGGAAGAAATATACGTTTATGTTGCTTCTCCATTATTTCTTCCGCGACATCTCCCCTAGTGATCAGGAAGGAAAAACGTCCTTTAATGGCCCTAACTGTAGGGACGAGTCTCGTCTCGCAGGCTTCCTCCTATCTTGGCTCTCTCGATTTGTGTTTCCAGGTCCTCCAGATGACGGTCCTTGTTCCGACCTTGTTCCCTTAACTATCAGATTGTCTTGTGGTAAGAGTCTTCCTTTGGCCTCGCTGTTTCTGGGCACCCTTTATCACGAGCTTGATTTGGCCCATGCTCGTATGGAACGCTTTGTAGGTCGCATGAGTGTGGTGTCTCGAGTTAACACCATCTTCTTGCATATGTTCGTATATGAGTATTTTCCAGGCTACGCTCCTCGCCCCACCACATTACCTCGGGATAACAATCTAAAAAGATCCTTTCAGTGGCATAAGCATAGCCCAAAGAAGAAACTAGCAGAGTATATAGACCGGGAAGGGTGTTTTGTAGCTCGTCCCTATACTAAGGGACCTCGTGTGGATCATGGTTCCTCGAGGGATGGGACGGTGATTTCGGGCAAGTACCTCAAGCGCAACCCCACCTCGACCATTCTCGCCCTATCTTCTGCAGGTTATCTTCTTGCTCTCTTTCCTCCGCACTCAGGAGTAGGTAAAGTTTATAATCCCCACCGAGTGGCTCGGCAATTTGGATGGGATCAGGGACTTCCCCGGGACTATGGTTACGGGGATCGCCAGGACTATAGCACTTATACTTTGGGTTTCTCTCGCTTCCTCGACTCCGGAGGTACCGAGCTTGTGGGGGATTGTTGCATACTCCACATGCCTTCCTCCTCTAGGGTAGGGCGATGGGCTGTAGGGGTGAGGGCATATTGGAAGGACATCATGCACTCTTTCAGACATTATGTAAGCAGTGCTCCATCCCCAGTCCCTGCTCGTGGTTTGCTAAAGAATGATTCCTCATTTCGCCCTTTCAAAAATACTTCCGTAGCCGCTCAGGGCAAGCCCTGTGGTATGGCGAATTTGCACCCCCTCTCTTTGCCAGAATCTACTGTGCCTGTAATAGACCTTCGGGCTACGAGGCCCCGTCGTGACAAGCGTAAGCTTGACCAAGATACAAGTTCCTTTGTGCCTGCCTTAATTCCACCAAAACGCTCCAAGGTTTGCAATTTCATTCTTTACTTTTGTCATTATTACTTTGTTAATGTCATTGCTCCCTAATTTACAAAGCACTTTGCAGGAGAAGAGCATTGCTGCAGATTCCAATGCTCCCTTAGAGACCACTCGCCTGTCTACTCGAGCTGGGGCCTCCTCTGGTACTAGATCCCAATCCGTGCCTCCTGAAGGCGTTCCTACCAAGGGTTCCTCTATTGTTGATAGCGGTTGCACCCCTGAGGCTTGTAATGGCTTGGATGTTCCTTCCGATGCCTTGCACACTCTTGCGAACGTCCTTAGTGACCCTGAGGGGGCCACGAGGGAGGTACTATTTTCTGACTTGAATCCGTCTCATGCGCCCCCCACTCACTCGCGGCGCGGGAGGAGAAATGAATTAATCCCCTTAGCCTGAGGTTTGGGAAGCTTTAACGAGGATACAGGGACCGTGAACAAGGCCGTGGATCTTGCCATGGTTGCCTTTGATTTTGAAAGGAGCTCAAGCCAAACATTATCAGACAAAGGTGCCCCCCCCCCTTTTTTTTTCTTTTGAGGTTCATTCTATTGTTTTTTTTTTGGTATCCTCTTATTTAAATGTTAATCGCGTAGGCATCGAAGTGGAGAAGGAGAGGGAGGTTGGGGCTCGCTTGGGCGACCATCACTCGGGGTATAATGATGGAAACAGTGATTTTGAAAACTCAGTTGAAGTAATTCAAGAGCTTCCCAGGGAACCTCTCATCAAGCTAAGGTAAATGGTTGAGAAAGCCATTGACGAGCTTCTTCCCCAAGAAGAGGATGATGCTGAGGTAATGAGTTTAAGTTCTGCTACATCTTCTAGACAGAGCCATTCGAGAAGTGATGATCATCAATCTGAAGGTGGAGTCAGAACTCATCTTTCTTTGCCTGATAGTGCTGCAAAGAAGGGTGCTCACTCGTCCCCCTCTAATTCTCCAAGGGTGGAGAGACGAGTTGTTGCTCGCGAGGAGGTAGAGTCCAAGGTAGCTCTTATTGAGCCTGACCCTGGTGCGGGGATTATCTCATGGGGTGGATCAACCCTTACTTTGGATGAGGCCAAAATTTTAGATGAAGTAAAAACTAAACATCCTCAGACGTTCGAGAACCTTGATGGGGCGATTCCTTTGTTTCTGAACTTTGTGTATAAAGTAACATGCAAACTAGTGGTGGGGCTTCGCAAGGCCAAAGACTGTTCCTTAGGGAAGAATGAGCTCGATTCCTTGGATCACCTCTTTGCCAACCTGAAAAGGGTACAGGTCGAGGTGAGCTGGGCTAGAGGCATTCTTGCACGTATTGAAGCCTTTGCGGAGCGAGAGAGGGAAGTGGAAACAATCAAAGACCTCCGCGACTAAGCCGAGGAGGAAAATGGGGTACTTAATGTGGAAAGAGTTTGTCTGGCCGAGTTACAAGAGCAAATTAGGTTGAGGGAACAACACATCATTTTTTTGACCAGCGAAGTGGAGCGCAAGCTACTCTCGCTGGGTCCTGCAGTTCTGAACTTGGATGATTTGCTTTAATGCTGTAAAAGAAACTATTTACTTTTTTTTTTTTTTTTTTTTTTTTTTGAACCGAATAGGTGATTTCGCACTGCCCTTTTTTATTAATGGATTGCTTTTACTCTTCCTGAGATTACTCGTCATTATATATATGTTTTTTTGAATTCATTAACAATGTTTGATGTGTAATGTCCCTGTTTTTACTTTATAGTGAATTGCACAACATCAGTATGTTGTTTTACTTTGCAGTTAATTGCACAACATCAGTATGTCATAAGCAATTTTTGTGGAGAGACGAGAAAAGTAATTATGCACCGAAGCATCAGTTATGGGGAAATATGGAGTCCCCTGTCCCTCTTTGTTTTATATACTACAAAAATTAGGGCGATGCCAAAAGAATCCTTTTACAGATACAGCGCCTCGAAAGAGGTGCTTAGATTTCATTAGCTAAGCGTAATACTTCTTCAGCCACTTAGCATTAATCAGACCCAAAGTCTTGTTGTTACCAACCCTGCCAATTTTGTAGTATCCGCTATCGTTCACCGTTATGACCTCGAAGGGGCCTTCCTATTTCTGGGTAAACTGCGATGCTGAGAGATTTTACATTACATGTGTTGCAGACTTTAAAACCAAGTCGCCCTTCTGAAATGCTCGAGGTCGCACAGTAGCGTTGTAAGCTCTTGCTACCTTCCTTTGGTAAACTGTCAATCTGCTCTTTGCGTGCTCCCTTTGCTCGTGTAATCCTTCAAGCTCTCCGATTTTATGATTAAACTGAGAGTAACTTTGTTCGGCCAATCTCCCAGAGGGAATCACTATCTCGACTGGGAGCACTGCTACTGTTCAGTATACCAGAGAAAAAGGAGTGGCACTCGTGGCTCCTTTTACGATGGTTCGATATGCCCAAAGCGCGAGGAGAAGCTGTTTGGCCCACTTGTCATGTTGTTCTTTCAGGGTTCTACTCAAAATCCGAAGTAGGGTCTTATTGGTCACCTCTGCTTATCCATTACCTTTAGGATAATAGGGTGTAGATTTGAGGTGGGCCACTTGATATCTGTGTAAGAGCGTCCGAACCTTGTTGTTTACAAAGGGCATTCCATTATCCTTTACGATAACCTGAGGCACTCCGAATCGGCATATGACATTCTCCTTGATGAAATTTGCTACCAACTGTCCGGTAGCTACTGACAAAGCTACTGCCTTGACCCACTTGGTGTAAGCCTCGGTTGCCACTAGTATCCATTTCTTCTTTCTTGACTTTGGTGAAATAGGGCCTATCAAGTCCATGGCCCAAGTGTGGAATGGCCAAGAAGCACCAGTGGGATGAAGTTCCACTGCTGGGGTGTGGATAGCATAATTATGAATCTGGCATTCTCGACATTTTTGAGCAAAGTCCCTGCTGTTTGTTTGCATCGAGGGCCAATAGTACCCTAGCTGTATAAGGCGGTTGTGCAATTTTCTTCACCCTTGGTGCTCATCTTCATGTGCTTGCTTCAATACTTCTCATGCCTCAGTGATACTTATGCAATGCTTGGCCTTCCCATCGAAGCCTCGTCTCATTAACTCACCTTTGCATATAAAGAAATGATTTGCGTTTCGTCTCAGCAATGCTACCTCTTCACGGTCTTGTGGGAGCAATCATTTCTCGAGATAGTCCCTGTATTTCTGCCTCCAGTCCCCTTCATCAACGGCCAAGCATCAAGCTCCTTCGAAAATCTTTTGACATTTTGAACAAGCTTTTTGTATGGCGTTGGCATCGGCTGCCATCTGCGGCCAGTAGTATCCCTATCTCTGTATTCTCCGATATAAGCTCAGCGGAACATCACCACATGTTTGTTTGTGGATCTCATGCAGCACTTGCTTGGCCTCCTGTGACCCGATACATCTAGCCAAAATGCCCCCAGGGGCCCTATAATAGAGAACTCCTAGATAGAGTGAAAAGTCTTTGAGTGTTAGTGCGGGGATTTCGCCCGCGCCCTCCTTCAATTGCAATATATATGGGCTCCACCAATCTTCAATATCCTTCGGCTCATCAAATTCTTTGTTATTTAGGCATGACTCCTCCTTTTTATGAATTCAGATATCTACTAATTCTCCTGTTATCTCAACCTTGGAAGCTAAAGTTGCCAAGGCATCCGGATAGCGATTTGTTGCCCGAGGCACGTGGGTTATACGAAGCTCATTGAAATGACCGCTCAGCTTTTGGGTAGCAGTTCGGTATATTGCCAGAGTCGGCTCCTTGATGGCATATGTCCAGTCCAGTTGTTTTACTACTAAATTTGAATCTTCCTGGATATGCAGACACTTGAATTTCTCTTCTCGAGCTGCCAACAATCCTAAAACCAGGGCTTCATATTCTGCCATATTGTTAGAGCACGCAAAAGTTAGTTTGTACGAAAATTTTTGAGCCTTTCCCTCTCCTGAGGTTAGGACTACCCCCACACCACCTCCTTTAGAGGTCGACGATCCATCAAAGGATAATGTCCAAACCACATTTTCATCTGCGTAATAAGTGGAGTCGGGCTTTTCGTGAGGAAGATCATCTTGCACCAGTTCGAAATTGCCAGAGGGAAACTGGGCTATCAGATCTGCTAAGGCTTGGCTCAAAATTGTATGCGGTGTGTAGCACTGTATATCGAACTTGGATAACATTAAGAGCCATCGTGCAATTCGTCCAGAAAGGATAGGCCACGAAAGCAGGTACCTTATTGGATCATATTTGGTGACAAGATGAATGCTATGAGCAAGGAAGTAATGATGGAACTACTTCGCGGTAAATGCCAAAGACAAACAATGGCGCTCAATTGGAGAATATTGTGCCTCAGCTCCTTGGATGATTCTGTTGATATAGTAGACAGGGCATTCTCGGCCTTTTTTTTCTTGAGCAAGAAGCGCCTCGATAGAGTGCTCTGTTGACGTGAGATACAACCAGAGAGGAACTCCTTGCCGAGGAGCTATAATGGTGGGCGGTGAGGACAACAACTTCTTGACTCTGTCAAACGCTTTTTGGTGTTCTTCATTCCACTTAAATTCAGATCAACTTCTTATTAAAGTGCTAAAAGCATGCGTTACCTCGGCCAAGGCTGGGACAAAGCGTCGTGATGAGCGCTGAAAAGTGAGTATTTAAACCCCTTAAGCTTAGGCATTCTAGTACCTTTATCTATCTTACTTTACCGTTTTAGATTGATTTCATATTATTTTCATTTTCAGGCACTTATCCCGAAAATAAGCTAACTCAGCCAAATAAGAGCTTAATTGAAACAATTCTGGGATTAAACAAAGAAAGGAACAAAGTGGAGAAAGAATGAAGCAAATGAAACCAAATGTGGGAAACAACAAAGTTCGATCGATCCAACTTCAAGGTTCGATCGATCGAACAATGATCGATCTAAGTATTTCAAGATAGATCTAAGCCTTGGCCCAAAAGCATAAAGTCCAAAAGTTCGATCGATCTAACACCACCCTTTGATTAATCGAACACTTTTATCCTTATTCAAATGATTGATCCTATCCACAGCTGTACCACCCACTAACCACTTTTGTCATTTTCCCAAAAATATCTTCCCAAAATATCTCAGATTTGTCTTTTCCCAAAAAGCTCAACCAGTTGGATCGATCCAGCCTAAGTTCGATGGATTTCAGCCAGTTCGATCGATCCAAGTCCAAGGTTCGATCGATCGAACTTCCCCTAGTGTGAAAAAGTTAAATTTCCATCTCATTGAAAGTTGTCGTTTATCCAATCATTAGGGAATATTATGTGCACAACCCCAGCTCATTTTAGGTGTCATTTGACCTACCTATATAAGGATAAGGATTGCTTTTTACATAGGAGGCTAATATCATTTTCATATTATCTCTTGGAGAGCAAGCTTAGAAGAGGAGGCTAGAGACACCATTGGAGACTCTTCATCAACTAAGGAGCAAATCTCTTCCATGGAGTTAGCCCTTGAGGGTTAGAGCAACATCACCATGAATGACTAGACATCCTTTTGGGGCTAGAGTTAGCCCCAAGTATGCTTTCTATATCTTAATCTTGTGTATTATTGAGGGATTAGTGTTATAATTAACGTTTTGACACTTTGATATATATAGATCTTGTTTATTCAATGACTTATGTGGTTTAATGCTTCCAATTGATCATTTCATTCTATCCATATGTCTATGTATGCTAGAATAGATGTTCATGTGCTTGTCTCTAGATTTTGTGTTATTGATACATGTCTATATGTATTGATGCTATAGATTTAGAGATTGTCAAAACAAAATGCTTAAAAGAATGCTCTTGTGATTTTCTTGATGGTTCATACTTATTCCTTGATGGATTGTGCCTCTCCCCTAGTTTATTTTCATGCTAGTAGTGTAGATGTAGTGTAGTTGTGGTGTAGTGTTAAATGGGAGGATAATCTATGCTTGTTGTTTGATGATCCAAGCTTTTGAATGCAAGTAGCATATGTCTCTAACCTTGTGTTGTATTTGGATTGTGAGTTTAATGAAAAGATTAATGACTTGTTTTGATCTATTGTGCCTTCCACATGTTTTTTAGACAATATATGCTTCATTGCTTAGATATATTGTGCCTTTCACATGATGTTTAGACAATACATGCTTAATTAGTCATCCTTATTTGTTGAATCAACCAAACACACACACACTTCAATATTGCAACACACCATTTGCCCTCATTAGTCACTTGTCAATGATATAGAAGTGCATTGCTTGGTGGTGATCTCTAAACCCCAAGATCTCTCTCTCTCTTATTTACTCTTAATTGCATTCTTTTGTTATTACTTAGATTAATTTAGTTGCTCTCTAATCAACCAACCAACCAATTATTTGATCACTTGACCTACTAACCCTAATAGCGATTCCACGACCTTGTTCGATCCTCACAATCCCTTGGGACGATCCTTACTCACCCTTGCTATATTGTTAGTGAAAGGTAGTAGTGGCTTTTATAAATGTAAAACTCTTGGCCCTCGTGTTTATGCACACACTCTCTCAAGCTTGACGGTGTTGCGGTGATACACCTTGTCAGTTTTTGGCGCCGTTGCCGAGGATTGATTGATTTGATTAGGCAACGTCGGATTTGTGAAATCAATTAGGATTAGTACTCTTTTGATCGTGTCTTTACTTTATTTTTATTTTTCTTTTTGGTTACTTGTTGTGTTGTTCTTACTTAACTAGGTGCATTGTTGGAGAGGAAGTAAACAAAGGAGCATTCAAGCTAAGCATGGAAGGAAAAAAAAAGAGCTAAAATTAAAAAAAAAATTTGCTAAGCTAAGCTTTAAATTTGGAGTTGAAGTTCTAAAGGACCTTTGTGAGACTTTCTTTACTCAATCCCTTAGTTAAATTGTCGGCCCGCGTGGAGGCTTATTTTTAATTGTTCTTGCATCATTGTTGTTAAAGCATGGGAGTATGAATTAAGTGTTTGTGGAAGAAGTCTTATTGCATTGTTGTGAAGGTATATTGTTTTTCAATCTTTGTGCTTGTTGTGTTTTGCATTGTGCATGCATGGACGTCGTTCATTGAGACCCACTCTTGTCCCTCTTGATTTGCATCTTGAAATCCATCGTTAGAAACCCTAGGGGAAGAGGAAGTTCAAATAGACCTAATCTATCAATGGATGACCATAATGATAATCATGTTGAGGACCTTGGTCACATAGACCAACAAGGTATCCTTCATCGTAATGTGTACAATGAGAACATACAAGTACCATTAGGCATGCCAAGGCCATTCATTCACCAACCACCACAACAACAAGGCCAAGTTCCATACGGAATGCCAAGGCTAATGTATGCTCCACAACCTCCCATCATCAATCAAGGAATTCAAAACCAAGGTGTTCATGTTGCACCTCAAGTAGCTAATCCACCTCTTGTTTTAAGAGACCATTATGTGCCTAACGAGTATAATGCACCTACATGCGTCCAATTGCCTCCATTTAGAGTGCATCATTATGAAATTAAGCCACAAACCATTCAAATGCTTCCTAACTATTATGGACTTCCAAGTGAAGAACCTTATAAGCATTTGGATGAGTTTCTTAAAGTATGTTCCACCATAAAATATACGGACATGCTGGAAGAGGTTTTAAGATTCAAACTTTTTCCATTCACCTTAAAAGACAAGACAAAGTATTGGTTTAACAATCTTAGGCCTTTTTCAATCACTTCTTGGGCAGAAACGATACAAGAATTCTTGAACAAGTACTATTTGGTTTCAAAGACCAATGCCATGAGAACCTCAATTTGAGAATTTTCACATGGGGATGGAGAAACGTTTCATGAGGTATGGGAACGCTTCAATGAATTGCTTAGGAAGTGTCCACATCATGACATGCCCAAATGGTAATTAGTTCAATACTTCTTTGAGAGCTTATCGGACAACTATAAGGGTATGGTTGATGCTTCCATGGGTGGCTCATATATTGATAGACATGAGGGTGACGTGTGGCATCTTTATGAGAACATGAGTGAAAATTCTTTGCATAGAACATTATCATCCAAGAATGGTAGAAATTCACAAGGTAGGAAGAGTGTTGGCTTACATCAAGTCGACCATTCAAATGAAATAGCCACCGAAATGAAGTCTTTATCTCAAAGGTTTGATCAATTTTAGATTAACCAAAACTCGGCGAACCAAATATCTTCCTTCCCTAACCATTCTCACCGTGCATCAAATGAAACATGTATGACTTGTTCTAGTGTTCTTCATTCTACTTCTCACTGTCCTCACGGACAAATGCAAAATGAATCTAATGAACAAGTCAATGCAGCTTTTGTGAACCAAGGGAACAATCCTTATGGTACTCATTAAAATCCAAGTTGGAGGAATCATCCAAATTTCTTTTGGAAAAACCAAGGAGAGGGCTCAAACCCTTCCCAAGGCGGTTTTCAAGGGAAGTACATTCCACCTCCATTTCAAAACCAAGGATCCCAAGGTTATAGACCTTATCAATCACAAAGGAATTAATTTGCTAATTCTCATTTTCCTAACCAATCTTATTCCCAAGGTAATACTAGAAGTCCCACCTTTGAAGAAAAAGTTTTGAATGTTTTGGATACTTTAGAGGCTAACACTCAATTACTTCATTCTCACTCTTAATCTATTGCGAAGCTAGAAACCCAAGTAGGGCAAATAGCAAGCACTCTCAATGCAAGAGAGAAGGGAAAGATGCCTACTAATGCCCCACCTAAGCAACAATGTGTTGTGGAAACCCATTCCTCATTAGAAGGCCACACCATTAAACATGTTAATGTGGTGACTACCTTGTGGAGTGGTAGGATTGTGGACAATCAAGTTGGAATGTCCAATGAAGAGATTGAACCTGTGCAACCTCAAGTTGCCACTCGTCCCGTTTCACATCCCATTCCTCATTCATTACATGTACATGATCTTGTAAATGAAAAAGTTTTGAAAAATATGTTTGAAAAAGAAGTTTTGAAAAATTATTTGAAACAAAATGACTTAAAAACTTCTTGTGTTGAAGAGAGTTCAGAAGAAAATTCTCAAAAAGTGTTTGAACCAAAAGTTCCATTTCTGGATGCCTTAAAAGGATCCATTTCAAAAGACAAGCAAAAGACAAAAACCAATGAAATTATGAAAATGTTTAGGCAAGTGAAAGTCAATCTTCCACTATTGGATGCAAT